AAAAATAGAGAAATTGAATAGACATTTCTCAAAAGAAGACATACAAATAGCAAGCTAGTATATGAAAAGCTCTCAACACCACCGATCATCACAGAAATGAAAATCAAAACTATAATGAGATACCATCTTACTTCAGTTAAAATGGCTTTTATCCAAAAGACAGGCAATAATAAATGCTAGTGAGGATGCAGAGAAACAGGAACACTCAAACATTGTTGGTGGGAATGTAAATTAGTACAACCACTATGGAGAGCAGTGTGAAAAAAACGACTAAAACAATAAAAATAGAACTACCATATGATCCAAGCAATCCCACTGCTAGGTATATACTCGAAAGAAGGGAAATCAGTATATGGAAGAGATATGTGTGCTCCCATGTTTACTGCAGCACTATGCACAACAGCCAAGATTTGGGAGCAACCAGGTGACTGTCAGCAGACAAATGGGTAAAGAAAATGTGGTACATATATACAATGGAGTAGCATTCTGCCATAAAAAGGAATGAGATCCTGTCATTTGCAACAACATGAATGGAAATGGAGGTCATTACGTTACATGAAATAAGCCAGGCACAAAAAGATAAACTTTGCATGTTCTCACCTACTTGTGGGAGCTAAAAATTAAAACAACTGAACTCATGGACATAGAGAATAGAAAGACGGTTACCTGAGCCTGAGAAGGGAACTGGGGATGGTTAATGGGTACAAAAAGAAAATAGAATGAGACTTAGTATTTTATAGTGCAACAGGGTGACTACAGTCTAAAATCATTTAATTGTACATTTAAAAATAACTAAAAGAGTATAATTGGATTATTTGTAACACAAAGGATAAATGCTTGAGAAGGTAGATACCCCATTTACCCTGATGTGACTATTATGCATTACATGCCTGTATGAAAATATCTCAGGTAACCCATAAAGATATACACCTATTATGTACCTACAAAAAAAAAAATTTAACCATGCCTGGCTAATTTTTGTATTTTTATAGAGACAGGGTTTCACCATGTTGCTCAGGCTGGTCTCGAACTCCTGACCTCGTGATCCACCTGCCTTAACCTCCCAAAGTGCTGGGATTACAGGCATGAGCCACCACTCCCAACCACAGAAAAAATTTTTAAATTAAAATATTAAAAGAATAACTTCCACTTATAGAGAGCCTTCTACAGCAAGTACTATTTCAGGTGCTTTATCTATATTAACTTATTTAATCCCTACAACAACCCTATGAGGTAAGCAAGCTTAATACCCCCATTATAAAGAAAAGGACACTGAAAGACACACAGTAGATAATCTATTCAAAGTCACTAAGAGGAAGAGCTAGTTTTCCAATGCAAACCCTAAGTCACAAGAGTCTACACTGTTTGACCCGCTAACTTTTGAATTTCATGTACTCCATTCTGTCCACAGATATAAATTAGCTGTAGGAACTCCACAGAAATGCAGATTTAACTTTTGACTTTGCTTAGTCCAATATGCAAATAAAGTGAAAATGATCAAAGATACAAAACAAAAAAAGTTCAAAGGACAAAAAATTACACATGGTCAGTAAACATAGGAAAAATTTTTCACAATGCTAACTAGAGAAATTCAAATTAAAACAAGACAAAAGCAGGCATTAAATTTGGTAAAAACCCACATAAAACACCCAAATTATCTTTGACATGCCGAATTCAAGCTTTTATCTCATGTGATGAAAAAACATTTAGGAGTATCAGCAGGCAATGAATGCTGCTTGCCAAACAAAAATTCACTTTTGGCAATGTCTGTCATTACGAAATACTTTGATATTTTATTGAATTTTGCCTTCGTTATTTTATAAAATTAAGTGGAAAACAGAAAAATGAATGTGTTGATAAAATTGACTTTAGACTCAATCTAAATTAATAAAACACACACCAAGTTAATAGGAAGAAAACTAAACTAAATCAAAGACAGGAAATACTGAAAACACAATATAGAAACCTACCTTCAAAATTTTTTTCAAGATTTTATTAATTTTTTTAGTTCTGTAAAAGCAGCATTCCTTATAAGTTTACTGTTTGCCTTTTAATTATTCAAGTTTGAACACATGGTCAGAAAAGGATTAAAATCAAAATAAAGAGATTCGATGCAAAATTTTTCATCTATGTGACTGTGAGAGATTAAATGATCACCCTAATGTGGGCAAAGGTTCAAAGAACCCTCCTAGACTATACTGGTGGAAGTATAAATTGATATTACCATTTTTAGCAAGCAATCAAGAGCTTTATAAACATTCATACCCTCTGATCCAGTTAATTCCATTTTCAGGAATTTATCTTAAGGAAATAATCAGAAATGCACACAAATATTTCTATATATGGATATTCATCATAACAATATTTGAAATACTGATAAAAAGGAATATAATAAAAACAGAATAGATAAATTACAATACACTTATATGACAATGTTGTGCACTTATTTTAAGAGTATCTACTGAAATATTAGAGGAAAAAATGATGCTCACTAGGATTGGCTTCAAAGCCAAAACTCTAGGGAGAAATAAAAGGAGAGAGTGTAGAAAATTAGACTGGTTCTGAGAAATGCTGAAGCTGGTTGATAGAATCATAGGAGTTCACGACACTATTCTGTATAACTCTGTGTATGTCTAAAATTTTCTGCAATAAAGTTCTTAAAAATGGGGAACTTTAAAGTAAAAAAAAAAAAAACAAGATACAAAAATGATTTTGCAGCACAAATACAAGTTCACAAATGGAAAAAAAAAAGTGACATACACACATGGAAATAACATGTCAAAATGTTTAACAGTCATTTCTCTGGGTTATAGAATTCGACATGACTTTTATCTTTTTTTTGTAACTCCTAATTTCTTCTAAATAAACATATATTAGTTTTATAATTAGAAAAACAAATTATGAAAGCTACTTTGAAAGAAATCAAATTCAAATGAAAATGAACAAAACACTAAGGACAAAGAAACATATGGAACTTCATTTAATCAGTTTCCTTTTCTTTTTTTTTTTTTTTTTTGAGACAGAGTCTTGTTCTTTTGCCCAGGCTGGAGTCAAGTGGTGCAATCTCGGCTCATTGCAACGTCTGCCTCCTGGGTTCAAGCAATTATTCTGCTCAGCCTCTGAAGTAGCTGGGATTGGAAGTGTCTGCCACCAAGCCCAGCTAATTTTTGTATTTTTTTTTAGAACCGCATTTTGCCATGTTAGCCAGGCTGGTCTTGAACTCCTGACCTCAGGTGATCAATTCACCTCGGTCTCTCAAAGTGCTAGAATTATAGGTGTGAGCAACCGTGCATGGCCTTGATTTTCTAAACGATTTGTCCACTTACTAAATGAAATCCTAAAGGGCTTCTCTGCCTAGTCCAAAGTCCAAATTCCCCAGTATATAGTCTATTTCACTGAAGCCACAGCACACTTTTCTGGTCTCTTTCCCATCACACTCCTCCAGATGGCAGTACAGAATCTTTCCAACAAGGCACCATCTTGTTTGGCACTTAATATATCATGCCTTGAAGTCCAGTTAGGTATGCACACATCTGCCTCTCCTGGGGTAAACTCTGCCAGACACACATCATAACCACATCTTCTTCCTCTGTATGCACAGTGCCTAGCACACTGCTTCATAAATAAGTGGTCTAATCTTAGATCTAGTAAATAAAACCACTGGACACAGCCATGAATTGAAACTTGCAGCACAAAGAATTTCCAAAGTTACGTAAACTTTGTAACAAGTGAACTCTATCTCCAGAAACTGAAGATTACCAATAATATCATTAAATATCATAAACCCCATAATTACCAAATAATATCACTAAATAATATCAGAAACCTCTTTAAAACGGCTGCCTTCTAAAGTCCTATATTAAGGTGATAGTATGAGTAGTGGTGTTTCTTTTATTTGTTTGTTTTTTAGATATGGGGTCTCACATTAGTTGCCCAGGCTGGTCTCAAATTCCTGGGCTCAAGCAATCCTTCTTCCTCATCCTCCCGAGTTGCTGGGATTACAGGTATGTGCCACCATGCCCAGTTTTGTTATTTTACTTTTTTTCTTAATTTCCACTACCATGGTGGAAATATAATTTTTGTAAGTAAAACCTATTTTCAGCAATTTTAGTTAGTATTGGTTTAGGAATTAAACCTAAGTTTCAGAATTGGTATTATTTCCCAGTGATGTGCCAACTTACCTAACAGATGTGGCTCTGTGGATGAGCATCTCTGTTTGTTCGGACAAGGCCGATGGAAGCAGCAGCTCTACCGGCTGCAGGCTTGACATCCGGGTTTCTAGCTCTGAACGAGAAGCAGAGTCCTGGAAGCTATCAAACACAACCTCGCCTGTGGCAGGCTGCACTCCCTAAAAATAAATACAAATATAATATTACAGAAAAAATGTATTTTCCCAGTTATAGCTCTTACACAGCATAAACATGAAAAAAGTAAAGATGATACACTCAGGAGTATATATGTACTCTATTTTTAAAGCATTAGAAACCTGTCTGCTTTTCAAGATTCCTATACAGTCAGACTCACAGATAACTAAACCATGCTACAAATTAGATTTCTGAGAGCCACCCTGAGTACACGCCCTGGAGCTAATATACCTAGCAGGGTGACAGTGGCAAGTTACCAAATACTGTCAGGCCTCAGTTTCTTCCTCTGTAAATGGAACCAAACCAGCCTACTTCTCTTATAAAGCTATTATAGGGATCAAATCATAAAATAAACAGGAATTATTTGTGACTCTAAAGCACTGTACAAATAGTAGTTATCACTCAAAGTTACAAGTGATATGGTCCTAGTAACCATATCACCAGAACAGTAGTAAATTACTACTTCATATACCAAAGTAACACAAAAAAAGTACACTTTACCAAACTCTGAATGAACCCCAAGTAGACAGTCTATCCAGTGGAATGGCCATGCCAACTTGAAGCTACTCTCTAACATCCCAAGCCAATAACAGCAAAGATAAACTGGAAAAGATCATGGTTTGGAGAAGTGATGGGAAGTTACTTAGCCAAGGAACAGAGTAGCCAAGATTCAAACCCAAGAAATCTGACTACTCCCCAGTCCACACTGTTAGCCACTACAGATGCTTATGAAAAGCAATGGGGCTAGTTACAGACTGCATTAGCTAAAAAGAGGAAACATCACCAATCCCTATGTTCATGTACTATTGATGAAAAGCCACTTCTGACAATAGCAAGGCATTATCTAGCAAAGTTGTAGTATCCATATCCTATAACTTAGTAATTCCTCCCCCAGGGATATACTCTTGAGAAACTCAGGCATTTGTATACAAGACATACAAAAATATTTATAGCAGCATTCTCTGTACAACCGTAAACTAGAAAGAACCCACACGTCCATCAACAGAGGAATGAAAAAACTGTAGAACATAAAATGAAAAAGGACAAGGCGATGAGAGAACTACAGCGACACATGCAAATAAATCTCACAATCAAAATGATAAACAAAAGGAGCAAACCCCAAAAGAATACACATACTATATTTACACTTGTATGAAAAGTTTAAGAGGGTATGACAGAAACTAAAACCTCTATATTAAAAGTCTAGATTACAAGTCACCTCTGGAGGGAAGGGACACCCGGGGATGTTACGGGTTATAGGCAGTGCTATGGTTCCTCAAACTGTAATTAAGTATCTTTCTTAATTCTAGCCCAAAGGTTTTCTCTAGAGCCTAGACAGATGGACTATTCAGTACATAAGCATACACACATAAATTTATATACCAATCCACAAACCAAGCATTTATAAAAACCACGTACAGATGTTAAAGTAACAAATTTTTCAGTCAGCCAAATTCCTTTTTTCTTTATTTAATCAGAAAAATGGTCTACACTATAATATATGCAACTTCTATCACCCTGTGTGATATGTGACACACTGAGAAACTTAAAAACTGTGTGTATAAAACTGCACTGCCCAGACTGAAGGCAGACAGCCTGACTGCAGTGGTACTACAACAGCAAAGCCCTTACTTTCCGACTAACTACCAATACTCAAAAGGTGACTCCCAGGTAGTGACTGGGGAATGGGTGACACCCAACGTGGCAGGGAAAATAGTGTTGAGGGTCAAGGAAGGTAAGATCAATTTCAGCCACATTGAGTTTGAGCAGCCACAATAAATTCTAAGTGTCTTTGTTCAATAAAAACATGGATGCAGGAGCCCGGAGCTCAGGAGAGGTACAGCCTGGACCCAGAACTTAGGACGTCGTCAGGCCAAAAGTGGTTGCTGAAGTGTAGGACAGCCTCCAAGAAAATGCTTGAAGGGCAATCAGCCGTTTTCATTTTTCTGAGTCCCAGTTTGCACACATGGTTAAAATCTGGCGGTAGGCCAGATGGTATTTCTAAATCCACTAAGCAGGAATTATATACTATCAACTCTGTTCTTTAGACTGAGTTTTAGGTAAATACAAAATAGCATATTACATATATTAAAGCTAAAAGTAAATAACTTTACTATTTGTAGATAGATCCAACTGCCTGTGGCTAGATAAAAAGTGATTCTCAAGGATAAAAATATCATTTAGAGCTGTCTAACATCAACAAGAATGCTAACTCTCTGAAAGAAGGGCTTATTGGTTAAGCAAATGTCAAGTTAACACAGAGTTACACAGTCAGAATAAGGTATTAAAAAGCACACTGGAGACATTCGGGTTGTAAGAACTTTTGTTGATACTGCCACTGACTGCAAACATTAGAAAAAAGCAAAGAGAATTACTTTTTACTTGGACAGAGTTCTATTTGTGCTTAACTTATAACCGAAAAGGGTTGTCTCAGTGTTCTGAAGGACCTTAAAAAGTCTAAGACTTTTAGCAGAGTCCAGGTAAGTCTGTAAATGGGAAAATTTATTCATAAACTGCCAGAAGATCAATAAAACAATGACTTGGCTGGGCACAGTGGCTTATACCTATAATCCCAATACTTTGGGAGGCCAAGACGGGCGGATCACCTGAGGTCAGGAGTTAACACCAGCCTGGCCAACATAGTGAAGCCCCATCTCCAATAAAAATACAAAAATTAGCTGGTGTGGTGATGGGCACCTATAGTCCCAGCTACTCAGGAGGCTGAGGCAGGAGAATCACTTAAACCTGGGAGGCAGAGGTTGCAGTGAGTTGAGATAGCGCCATTGCACTCCAGCCTGGGTGACAAGAGTGAAACTTCATCTCAAATAAATAAATAAACAAAACTATGAGTCACAAATTACTTTTATTTAGAAAACTGATTGCAAATATTCCTAATATTAACTTAGTGTCGTATTTAATATCTGCCAATTATCACTTCTCTTTAACTATCCCTTCCTCCAAATCTAGATATAATACCAGTCATTCATGTTTAATTTCAAACCCCTAGAGGAAACTTATAAAACACTTTCTCACCCATGTTTGTGGTGGCTTCATGTTTTATTCTGCTATCTGTACAATGTTCACATGCATGTCTGTCATTGTGTCTATCTTCAACCTTAAAATCCCAGGGCACATGGACCAAAACCATCTGGATCTCTCCGTAGCATAGAGTATTGATATGGTTTGGCTGTGTCCCCACCCAAATCTAATGCGAATTGTAATCCCCAGTGCTGAGGGAGAGACCTGGTGGGAGGTGATTAGATCATGGGGCCAGATTTCTCCCTTGTTATTCTCATGATAGTTCGTTCTCACAAGATCTGGTTGTTTAAATGTGTGTAGCACGTCCCCCTTCACTCTCTCTCCTGCTGTCTTATGAAGATGTCCTTACTTTCCCTTTGCATTCCACCATGATTTTAAGTTTCCTGAGGCCTCCCCAGCCATGCTTCCTGTACAGCCTATGAAACCATGAGCCAATTAACCCTCTTTTTTTTTTTTATAAATTACCCAGTCTCAGGTGGTTCTTTATAGCAATGTGAGAATGGACTAATACAAGTACCAAGTAGCTATGAGAAAATTGTAACTAGTAATTTAACATATAATATTGTGAGAAAAATGTTTTTCTAGTACAGTTACCTGAAGGCACACTTCATCAGATGTCCTCATTATAAACCATACATGATGGCTCATATTTAGAGATACCATGAACATCTAACATTTGTTCCTCACCTGCAAAGTACTTACCACAATGCCAATAAAAACGTTTCCCTTTTTTTTGTCCCTAACATTTTCGTTATTTTCAGAGATGCACAGAAGATAGCTGGTAGAAGTATCGGTCATTATCTCGTCAACATTTACAGCATCATCCAGCTTGATTAGGGGATTCACATTTAATAATAATTAAAGAAAAATAATTATTTTTATATGCTAAATTTTAAATGCTAATATGCTAAATTTTCAATAATATTAACTATTTTCTCCTTTAAAATAATGGTTCACAGCCAGGCACAGTGGCTCACACCTATAATTCCAGTACTTTAGAAGGCCAAGGTGGTAGGATCACTTAAGGCCAGGAGTTTGAAACAAACCTGGGCAACATAGCAAGATCCTGTCTCTACAAAATAAAAAACTAAAAATAAATAAATAATAAAGTGATGATTAATTTCACGCAGTACTTTCACTCTTTGCAAAAATCTTCTGCCCAGCATTCATTCTTCTGATTTATTTGAATTACAGTCGCATGCCTTATCTTTCCTAAAATATAAAGATCATGAAGACAGATAACCAGTATCTTCTCACTTCCAAAGGGCTTAGGAGAATACATCAGACCCTATGGAGGCCCAAATTTCAACCCACTTCTTCACTTGGATGATGCTGAGACTTGAATACTTAACAATCCCATAATGCTTAATTCCACAATTCAAAGTGTAAATACACTAAAATAGCGTAAATTATTTTCCTCTTTTAATGTGCCTAAAGCTCCCAGAAAGAGCAAGAAAATTTTTTAAAGACATGAGAAAGAAAACAAAAACATACATGTATAAAATGAGTCCATTAACTAAATCTCAGGGATGAAAACTGATTTGGGGCAAAGTCTGGGCACACCTTTGGAACTCGGGACATAGGAGCCATAAAAGCAGCAAAGGAAAAGCAGGGAGGGGGACTGTACTAGGAATGGGCTTCAAATAAGAGACTCAAGCTTAGGCAAAAGAAAAAACAAAAATACCATGTTCTTATAGCCTGATCGGCTTAGAACACACAAAGCTGTAAATAGTTTTGAGTCCATTTTGAGTGACAGCTGTTCCTTACTGATGGTATTCATGGAACAAAACAATCCTTAGAATTTAGGCAGAAGCTAAGCAGGTCGTTAAATAAGTAGCTCTGTAATCAACCATAACAGAAATAATATGTTCACACAGTATCATTTAAGGCCTTCTTATACCTCCATTTTTTTATTATCAGAGAACTCATTGCACCCCATAGTAAATTTTTTAAATGCACCCTGATATAATTTTAAATATTTTGGCTTTTGAAACTGACAGATTTCTATGACTTTGCTTTTGAAATTATTTGGCTTCAAATAACACAATGAATTTATGAATGACCATAAATTTAGGGGCAATCATTATGCACATTAAAAATTCTTCTAAATGAGAAAACTTCACCTACAAACCATTTTCAAAAGTATTAAAATTTTTGTGAAGTTAACAATTGATGAAGATGGCCTACCAATATATTTTATAAGCATTTAACTCTGTCTTAATTCTGACTTCAGCAGTTTCCTTCTCACATTTTGAATTTTTTTTTTTTTTTTGAGAGTCTCACTCCTGTCACCCCGGCTGGAATGCAGTGGCATGATCATAACCCACTTCAGCCTTGACTTCCTAGGCTGACATGATTGTCCCACCTCAGCCCCCCAAGTAGCTGGGACTACAGGCAAGTCCCAACATGCCCAGCTAATTTTTTATATTTTTGGTAGAGATTGGGTTTTGTCATGTTGCCCTGGCTGGTCTCAAACTCCTGGGCTCAAGCAATCTTCCCATCTCAGCCTCCCAAAGGGCTGGGATTACAGACATGAGCCACCGCACCTGGCTTCAATAGTTATTTCTTAGGTCTCACTTTGGAAAGAGCCTGAAGAGCTTGTAAGCCCTAAGCACCTAACTACTAACCACAAATAAGCTAAGGAAGATATAATTTCAAATCAGTTACTAACCTGACATCATCTTTTACTAGGATTCCTTTTTTTCTTGCTCTTCAAGTATGATGAACTTCCCTTTTACTATGACATTTGAAAAGATGCTTGTTTCTAGCCACTAACAATCCTTCCCTCTTGAGGAGCACACCCAATCAAGGGTTTACCATAATGCCTCCCAGCTCATTTAAAAAGTTCCCAAAGAGCAACCAAAGGGGAAAAAAAAAAAATCTGCCAGCTTCAGACAAAGCCCTTGTACCATTTAAGAGGAAAATTCCTGTTCAAAAAGGATATCTTCTCCAATGAGCGTAGATTTTGTATAAAGGGCAGTCAATTTCCGAGAAAAGAGTGAACTTCTGTTGTCTCCAATGGCCTTTAATGCTGCAGTTTCAGTTTGCTTCACAACACCCACCTTCAACAAAAATAAGAAATATTGATATAAAATGATAAAATAAATCACTTGCAAAAACTCATTTCAAAATGTTTAAAGGTCATTTCTGAAATGTTTAAAATAATCAGTCCACAATGTTCAGATGTAGGGCTTAAAGGAATTGACAAGAGTGGATAAATCGCTAAGAAACACTATCATAGAGTTTAAAAATTTACTCTATAATATCTGACAATATGTTAAAAACTCATAAATATATAATGCTAATAATTATGAAACACTTTCAGTTCTCTAAAATGCAAAATTCTAAACCAATCGCCTTCCTACCACCTTACAAAACACATTTGCACTCTGTGGAAGAGAATCCCAATTTCCTTTTCCCACAAGTTAAAGCCAAAGCTGACCTTATATCCTTTTGCCACCAGGCGGCGCACATGAACAAACAGTCTGTGAGTAGGTATACTTGCTGTCATAAAGTTGTGATCTAAATGGCAATAAATATTGAGCTCCCGGGCTGCAATCTAAAAAATGAAAAAAGAAAATATCAATACATTTGTATTTTAAGATTCCCTAGGTGGGTTTGTTCACTTTGTTAAAAATTCATCAAGGTATAGATTTAGGATTTGTACATTTATCTAAATGTGTAGTATGTCAATAAAAAGTTTAAAAAACATTCCCTGTATAGAAGCCTATATGGTTTAATGTATTTTGGGCAGTTCCAGTGGCCTAACTTCAGTATCAACAGCTGTATTTATAAAAGACTCAGAAAAATACTACAGGTCTTCTATGTCCTTAGAGGTTTCTCTACACAAAGACTATCCAATACAGAGAGCATGAGACTGTAAAAGAGTAAGAATTTGCTACATGGCAAGTGCAAATGACTGACACTTAGAAAACACTACAGAGTTTGCAGAAATGATTAACCCATCTGGACAGAGAAATGGTTGAAAAAGTAAAAAGAGAAGCCCCAGACTGGCTAATTAATGATGAATGCCTGATAGAAACATAGAACCATGCAGCCCCATCTGATTCCCTGATTTCTTCTAGAAAGCACCATGGCTTAGATATTGCCCACTGGAGTCATGGAACTTGAATTCCAACATTCTCACTCCCTGACCTCACCCCATCTCTGAACTGTATTAGTCCCTCACAGAAGGGCAGGAAGACATCAGCCTTTATGGTGTTCAGGCCTGAATTTACCATTTAACCTACACAGTTTCTCTCCTTCACCTAGAGGATGCCAAACTACATATTCATTTCTGCCCTCAGAAAACATGGTGACACAATTTCAGAGTCTAATTTAATGTCACAGAACACAGCATAACGCATCTGACTTAGAGAACACCGCTTGCCTGCCACAAAGGACTCAGGAAACTTGAAGAAAAATGTTGGCCAAGGGTTTACTTCCCATCCACAGGGCACAGACATGCTACTTCATCACTCTCTGGTGTACAATCCAACCAGGTCTCAAACTATGGAATCATCCCACGCATTCATGACTTCCAACAAAGGTGTCATCAGCAGTCCTTTCCCTAAGCTTGCCCATGAAACGCTCAAATTTCATTTTCAACCTTCTTGACTAGGGCCTATAAAAAATATTTAAACATTAACTACAATCCCAATTTTCTTTTCCGAGACGGAGCCTTGCTGTGTCACCCAGGCTGGAGTGCACTAGCAGAATTTTGTCTTACTGCAACCTCCGGCTCCCCAGTTCAAGAGATTCTCCTGCCTCAGCCTCCTGAGGAGCTGGGACTGAAGGCATACACCACCATGCCTGGCTAATATTTTTTATATTTTCAATTGATGCAGGGTTTCACCATGTTGGCCAGGCTGGCCTCAAACTCCTGACCTCAAGTGATCCATCCATGTCACCCTCCCAAAGGGCTGGGATTACAAGTGTGAGCCACCTGGCACAATCCCAATTTAGACTAAGACACCAACATGACTGATACACAAAGAAATCCGTAAAACTTCAAACAACTTCTGGTAGTAGCTGGCAAGTTCATGTGTTCTTCCACTGAGAACTAACTTTGTTCCTGGCTATGAAAATTCCTAAATTAAGGGTAAACAGAGGAACTTCTATACATCTGAAAAATTTTTTCTTGCTTGAGTCTTCATTAAAAAACATATTTCATGATTATGGTTCATTCGCTAACTGATTCACCCAATAAACTTTGGATGGATAAAAAGTACTGGCCTAGTATCACGGAGAATAAGCACTAGCATTCCAATAGAGACCTCTCACATTTCCCCCACCAAGTCTGGTTCCCACCAGGTTTCTTGTGTTCACTTTTAGTTTTTACTTTAAATAACAGTATTTTTTTAAAAGTGATTAATCAAATCAGCTTTTACATAAGGTTGGAAAACGAAACAAAAATATTGAGAAATATCTAAGGCTAGACAAGAAAAACAAAATAGTGCCTGAAAAACAAGACTCACCTCTGCATCTTCCCCAAAGAATCTGTACTTATATCCACATTCCACACACAAAACTGCATCTTTGTGCTGCTGCTTCATTTCTATGTATTGTAATTCTAGCGGCGTATAGATGCTTTTGGACCGTTTGTTAGCTGGTTTAGAATCAGTTTTCTGTAAATTTTCATCACTTGTATTTGATGATCCAAAATGACTGAGATCACAAAGTGTTGTGTCCTGGCAACCAAAAGATTTATAAAGTTTTAAAATATTAACAATAATAATAAGTTCCCAGAGACAGAAAATGCAAATCTGGCAAAAAGCTAACACTTGGTGAATCTAGGTGAAAAGTTTATAGAAGCACCTTGTAGCATTCAGGCAAATTGTCCATAGGTTACAAATATTTTCAAAGTAAAAGGTTAAAAAAATTATGAGCCCACTAAGCTCTCATATAATTTTTATGCAAATTTTGAAAGTCTAAATAGCTTAATGTTTTATGTGTGTCTTTTAAATTTGGTTTCATTAACTCTATTAATATTTCTTTTAATATTTATTCTCAGGTGTGTAATGCACAAAAAGCCAATGGGGGCAAATCTGGCTCTCTCTCAGGAGTAGGGCAAAACAGCTCTGAGCAAAGCATGCCAACAGATAAAGCTGCACTTAATGTTTTATACTTCCAAGCACACTGTAAAAGACAGCACATTCTATGAACTCTTATTCCAAGAAAGAACCATGATTCTTTTGGTAAATAAACATGGGAAAGAGTTGTTAAAAAAAACATACAGCACAAGGCCACATTTTCAACATTAGTACTCATACTATTCTTACCTTCCTGTGATGAACCATTATTAATTGCAATTCACAGCTTAGGGAAAATTACGTGCTTATTAGACTTAACTTAGAAAAATGGAAATGAGACAAATTTATAGGCTAAATCCAACTTCTAATTAATTGCCACTCTGTCACTGCCAACTTCCAAAAATTTACACAGCTCCCCCTACAATCAAAAATATGGCCTAAAAGTCCTGTGACCAAAAAGAAGATGGGGGAGTAAAAGGAGAAAAATGGCCTAGGAACGGGAACCCCAATCCAAAAGAAAACCCAGAAACATGTACACTTTGTAGTTGCCAAATGTTTAAAACAATTCAGTTTCACCAGGACATTAAGTAAAGATATTAACTTTTCAAAAAAACCTCAATTTATTTGAATAGTGCAGGCCAGCAAACCTCCAAAGATCAGCAATAGGAAGACAGTAAGGTTTGGTGAGGTTGGCAAGAGAAATGCAGGTCATTATGAAGGCAGTGGCAGCACATCTGGAGCATCTGCTACCATAATGACAGCTGCAGTAGGAGAGGTGCAGCCAGGGCTGCATGTTCACAGAGCCAGCAAGAGCCGGGAATGGGTAGAAGCCTCACCCCCTTCTGCTATGGCAGGGCGAGAACCTTGTACTCCCCAGGCACAGCTGTGGGTGGCCAGCCATGGCTGCAAACCTGGACATCTCTGGGCTCTTGGGGGCTAGCAGCAGGCAGGAGCCCCACCCTCCTGGTACAGTTGCAGCTGCTCAAGCTGCATCTGTGGACCCCGGCATCTCTGCACTCTCAGGGACCCAGGAAGGAAACGTCCCTTCCCTCCACAGGCTCAGAAGTACCTGCTCCCACTGCCTGGCCTCTCCCAGCTCCCAGAACCCACTCTGCTCTCAGAGCAAAGTTGAGGCCAAGCCCAGGATTGTTGCAACCTGGCCAGGTGTGCACATGTTTAAGGCAGTGCTAACATGTCAACCCCCTGCTGCCTCACCCCCTCTGGACTTTGGGCACTGATGAGTACAGGAGGGAGGCTGAAGAGGGGGCTGAGGGCAGCTGAGGGCAGCTCAGAGCTGTCCTGCAGGTGCCCCTTGGCAAAAACAGCCTGGGTGCCATGGATTATAGCAGGAGGCAGACAGAGTCCTGGGCAGAAAGGGGCAGGTCGGGGTGAAGACCTCCTTCAAGCCAGGAACAGCCTGAAGCCCGGGGACCAGGCTGAAGAACCAGAATTAGAACTTAAGGTGTTTTTTATGGGCTCGCCCATGGCAGCCCATGAACCAAGCAGCACACACTTCCTCCTCTCAAGCCCATACAAACCCAAGACTCAGCCAAACTTGAAGAGACAAGCAGACAACCTGCCTGCAGAGAGAAGCTGCCTGCTACAGGGTCTGCTCTCTGTGGAAGGCTGAACACTTGTCAGGGCGCCCTGCCTACAGAAAGGAGCTACCCACTGAAGGTCTCCCTTGAGATGTTCTGTCACTCAAGAAAGCTCCTCTTTGCCTTGTTCACCCTCCACTTGTTCACATACTTCATTCTTCCTGGACACAGGACAAGAACTTGGGACCCACTGAATGGCAGGGCTAAAAAAGCTGTAACAAAAACCGGCTTGAAACACATTCCTTGCTTGCCACATTGCGGCAAGAAGGAGAAAAGAGCTGTAGCCCTGCAGGGAGCCTAGACCTAGGAGATCCCTGAGCCAGGTCTATGACACCCTCTCTGGGGCTGTGCAGTTCCTGGCATCTCCAAGCTTCCAGGTGCCAGCCTTGGAAGCTACTTGCGGTACGCCTTGGTTCAGCCCTTATCCATCCTGGCACCTGGAGCTGCCTGCCCCACTAAAGCTGGCATGCCTGGCTGTGCACGTGGCCAGGCCCCGTGCTCACTCGCTCACATACCCGTCACCACTCTGCTCCAGGCTCACCCTTGGCAGCCATGAGATTCAGGCCAAAAGCACAAGACGAACACAGCCTGCCAGGCCGAATGGGCAGAATAAGCCCACCTGGCCCAAGGAAAAACTCAGGCAAAGGACCCACTAGTCACAAAGGTTTACAGCTGGTGAAGTGAGACCCCAAGGATCGCATAACAATTACCCTAGACCTGAGAATGCATTTGCTTTTAATGTTGATGGGTTTACTATTTTGTTACTGTAATTTTTTTTTTGTCCCCCAGGTTGGAGTGCAGTGGCACAATCTCAGCTCATTGTAACTTCTGCATCCCGGGTTCAAGTGATTCTCCTGCCTCAGCCTCCTGAGTAGCTGGGACTACAGAGACATGCCACCACACTCAGCTAATTTTTGTATTTTTAGTAGAAACAGGGTTTTACTATGTTGGCCAGGCTGGTCTTGAACTCCCGACCTCATGATCTGCCCGCCTCAGCCTCCCAAGTGCTGGGATTACAGGCGTGAGCCACCACGCCCAGCCAGAAAATATATTTCTTATATTTTAAAAGCTTATTCTTACTTTATACTTTATTCATTTAGGAAAGAGATAAGCTTCCAAAGAAAAGTTTTATCCTTATAGGATGTTAACAATTAAATCAATCTAAATTTTTGAATATTAAGCAACCTTTTTTTAACTTTCATTTTAAGTTCAAAGGTACATGTGCAGGTTTCTTATATAGGTAAACTTGCGTCATGAGGTTTGTTGTACAGATTAACACCTGGGTCACAAAATAAGCAACTTTAAAAAAAATGCTTTGGGTGGAAATACTTATCAGATACATTACATTCTATTTCATATTCCCAGAGACAATATGCTGAAGTCAATTTAACCTTGTCTGGACAATTCAGAGTGATCAGAATGTATTTCAAAACCTGTTGAGAGTTACGGTGTTGCTGGCCCCACCCTAATGGTCCTGGACCATGGGGCATTTATGTTCATTCAGTAGCTCTTTGCCATTCATCCATGTCTTTCCATGCCATCAAACGACTTATCACTTGTAATAATAGCATTGCTTCTAGGTGCCCCCTCTATATGGTAACTTCTAATTTCCTGTGATGTGGAAATGCCAAGTTGGTCACTGTATGTATAAAGCAGTAATGGATACGTTCTTCTAAGACCTTGGTGTAAATGCTCCCAACAATAAAGTGAGCTTTAATGGATAAACTTTATGACTTATATGCTTAATAACCATTATACTGAGGTGAACTGCTTCTAAGTATTAAAGGAGACTAAAAACAAAAACACCTTTTTTTCCTGATGATCTAAGATGAGTCAACCAATATTAGCCTGTCTGAGGGAGGAGTTCATGGATCTGGACTTTGTGGGAAAGGTGTGAACTCTTGAAAATTATAGGCAAAATTTTGTTGGCTTCAGAATTTTTCTGAGGAAAAAGGCCAACAGCTTTCATTAGAATTTCAATTACTCAAATATATGTAAATACACACACACACACACACACACACACACACACACATATATAGAACCATTTCTCTAATTTCATGGTTGTCAACCATGACTACATATAAATGACCATTTTTCCTTTAGTCCTACCTCCTCTGGAGGTTAAGGTGGGAGGACTGCTTGAGCCCAGGAGCTTGAGACTACAGTGAACTGTAATCACACCACTGCACTCTAGCCTGGGCAACACAGCGAGACCCCATCTATAAAAATAAAATATAAAATAAAATGCAAGCTTTTTAAAAATATCCATGCCCATTTCTCAGTGAAAACCAATTAAATTAGATTCTGATGAAAGGTTCTTAATGGCAATTTTTATTTCAAGTTCTCCAGGTGATTCCAATGGAAAGCTAAGGTTGAGAACCAATCACTATTCTGAATTACAGATTTCAATAATGGATCATGAGTTAAATTCTCTAATTTTGCAAGATTAAAGTCTTTTGCAAGACCATGAAAAGTCTCAAAACAAATAGTGGACAAAGTAAAAAGCCCATGTTCATTCGGCTTACATTTGAATTTACTTTCTATCTTTCAAGCTTTCAACTAAAACCTCAAAACATCTAAGTTGCCCATCATGATTTTCCATGGTAATCATGGAAACTCTAAGAAGGACTGTAAGAAACTGTGCTTGTATTAATCATCAGTAAAGAATCCCTCCAAGTCAAGGGCTCCTGATCCAGGCAGTATCTCAGAATTATCTGGAAGACTTTTGCTTTCTTCTCAGACGAACCAATTAATCCTTCCCAAAACATAGTAAATCAGACTCTCCAGGGATGTAAAAAAGTTAACTAAAACACAAAAGCTCCCTCAGCTGATTCAGAACATCATTCAACTTTAGGAACCATTGCCATGAATGACCATGATATGCTTTCTGCATGTCAAAATTGTATTCATTCTTCAAGACCCATCTCAAATTTACCAGAGAACCTGACAGTACTTCAGAACCCACTATTCTAGGTAACAGGATACTCATCTATAGCAGTTACATACCTTTGGATTAATTTGACATTTCGAATCTTTAGAAGAAACTGCATTCTTTGCACGTAGAAGACTGATATCATCAAAATCAGTACATTTGGGCAGAACTGCAAATCTCTCCTGCAGAGATTCTGTCTGGACTCTATTTTGAGGAGGGGCAGAATCGCAGCAGAATTCTTTCAATTTTTCCAGAGACTTTAAAACATTCCTCGTCCTCAGACATTTCTTTGGCTCTTAGGTAGCAAATAAGAAGAAAATAGAACAATAGTATTTTGGTCTCATTATGTCAATTCATAACCAGCATAGAATTTTTTAAAGAGGTTGATTCCCACTAAAGCAACAAACCTAACTATAATGTGATTAA